GACGGTGGGGAGGGAATTATTTGTTTAGCAGAGTGATGGCGTTCGGGGGGGGGGGGGAAACTGTCCATGTGTCTAGTTGTTCTGGTGTGCAGTGCTCTACAGCGTTGTTTTGAGGGTAGGAGTTGAAACAATTTATGTCCAGGATGCGAGGGGTCTGTAGATATTTTCACAGCCCTCTTTTTGACTTGTGCAGTGTTACAGGTCCTCAATGGAAGGCAGGTTGGCAGCCATTGTTTCTTCTGCAGTTCTGATTATCCGTTGAAGTCCGTGTCTGTCTTGTTGGGTTGCAGAGCCAAACCAGACCAGTTATAGTGCAGATGACAGATGCACCTACTCCAGTTAGCTTTCATTAATCAAGACATGCCCAATTTCTTCAACTATTCTTCACATGTTTTAGCCTGCAGGGGACTAAAATATATGAAGAACGGTTGCGGAAATTGGGTATATCCAGTTTAATGAAAAGAAGGACTAGGGGTGATGTGGTAGCAGTATTCCAATATCTCAGGGGCTGCCACAAAAAAGAGGGAGTCAAGCTATTCTCCAAAGCACCTGAAGGCAGAATAAGAAGCAACTGATGGAAACCAATCAAGGAGAGAAGCAACCTAGAATTAAGGAGAAATTTCTTGATAGTGAGGGCAATTAATCAGTTGCCTCCAGAAGTTGTGGATGCTCCACCACTAGAGGTTTTTAAGAAGATATTGGACAACTAGTTGTCCAGAATGGTATAGAGGTTCCTCCTTGAGCAGGGGGTTGGACTAGAAGGCCTCCAGGGTCCCTTCCAACTCTGTTATTCTGTTAAAAGAGGTTTTCAGAAAGAGGGGTCATCCAGGAGGCAAGGTTTTCTTCTACTCAATCACAAACTACTCATAGGACTTACCTTCTCACCATTGTGGTTCCCCAAGACGTAACACCCTATGATGTGGATGACATTCGGGACCGGGTTCAGCTTGCTCATCAGACGGCCCAACCGCTTCCAGAAGCTGCAGAACGAGATGGAAGAACGTTTGAGAGATGGAAGCATTTCCCCAAAGATCTCCAACTGCAAACGCCTCATGAGGTTCTCCACTCACTAGATCATGTCTTCCTCCTTCTCCACTTTGGCAAAAGTGGCGACTTTATTCTTCAAGAGGTATAAATAGCCCGGACCTCCCTGCAAGAAGAAAAGAGAGAAGGTCCTCCTGAATCAGGCCTGGAGAACATCAACAGTTCTTCTCAAATTGCCAGGGTGGAGAGAGAAGAGCTTCAGGAACATCTAGAGAAACATGGATTCAGGGTAGGACAAGCTACAGATGCAATCCTCACCATGACGGAAATGTCAACACAGGAGAAGAGGAACACTAGAAGACCAAAAAGATAATCAACCTTAAATGGGAGAAAATATCCCACAGCTCATTTAGCGCCGATCCCAAAAGCCAGCCTTCTGACGACCAAAATCAACGTGGAAGCCAGATTCAATTCACAAGCGGATAACTAACGTATCAACTGCTGCGATTCCCTTAACCAGAGTTTGCAAGGGAAGTTGCAAAACGAGGCAAAGCTCATTTCACAAATGTCTCACTTAACAACAGGTTGGACCAGATTACCCACAAGGTCCCTTCCAACTCTCTTGTTCCATATTCAATGGAACAGAAGTTGCCTTCGGAAGTTGTGGGAGCTTCATCCCTGGAGGCTTTCAAGAAGAGGCTGGACTGCCCATCTGTCAGAAATGGTGTAGGGCCTCCTGCTCGGGCAGAGGGGGTTGGACTAGATAACCTACAAGGTCCCTTCCAACTCTGTTAATCTATCATCTGTAAAGCTGGGATTTGCCAAAAGAGAGAACACACATTTTGCGGAGAGCACGCAACGCAATTGTGTTGGAAGCAGATTCCTTAATGAGAACCATCAGTCACTGTCAATCCCCCCATCCCTCTGGGGAAGGTGGGTTTTTCCGAAGTCAGCCCTTGCTGGAACTTGGGAACATGGCAGTGGATGCTTGGGGGGTGGGGGAGCGGACCGGCGGGGTTGAGGACACCCTGACTCACCTGGCAAAAAATCATCATTTTCCAAATTTTGCAGCCCTTCCGGTAGATGTTCAGTTTTTTTTCAATTTCCTCTGCGGACAAATGAGGAAGGAAGGGTGATCAGTTGGAGCCAGAGGGAGAGGATGGATTTAGAGGCAAAGGTGCATGACGAGGGATATACAGCGACTCCTCATCTTACGACATCTTTGTTTAGTGGCCGTTCGAAAATAGAATGGCCCTGAAAAGACTTCAAAATTCAGACCCTGAATTTATGGGGGTCGTGTGGTCCCCAGATTCCCTCATCGGCCGTATTATTGACTCCAGTGCAAGCGATTCGCTTAACAACGGTGGTGAGAAAGGTAGTAAAACGGGGCAAAACTCACTTAGCAAATGTCTCGCTTTGCCGAGGAAAATTCGGGCTCAATTGGGGTGGTAAGTCGAGGAATAGCTGTATTGGTTAAGTCTGGAAGGTCAGGAGGAAGGTTGAGAAGGTAGCCCCCAACTCTGGCCAGCCCCCACTGTGAGGATGCGGGAGGATGTCCAGACTTCAACTCATAGAAATCCCCCCAGCCAGCTGTGCTCCATCCATCAACTCCATCAGTTATGGGAGAAGTTGGAAAGTCGAGGGACCCAATCTACTTATTCTCTCCACCAGGCGCCTCCTGGCTACTCAAGGTTTGCTCATCTTAGGGGAGGCTGAAGGAGGTCGCTTAAGGTTAGCTCGCCTTGCTCCTCCTAGATACTAAAGTTTTGCTCTGTCCATCTCTCCCTCCCTCCGTCGCTCTACATTACCCACTCTTCCTTTCATCCCCTACTTCCTATTCATCCATCCATCCAATTCTCTACCTATTTATCTCTCTATCTATTCTACCTACCTACCTATCCATCCATATCTATCCATCCATCCTATTCTATCTATCTATCTATCTATCTATCTATCTATCTATCTATCTATCTATCTATCTATCTATCTATCTATCTATCTATCTATCTATCT